TGGCCAGCCCAGTCCTAAACCACAACAAGCTGAAAGCAACTACTGCAACACATAGTATTCACTACCTGCCTCAGCACTGCCAGGAATTTCCATGGAATTCCCAGAATTAGGAACTCCTGACCAAATAAAACCATAAAAATTAAGATAAAATGTTAGCAACAAATAGAGAAATTATGTGCTGCTAAGTATCTTACAACAGGTCACTCACTTTTAACTTTTGTGTCAGGAGAGGGTTTTTTAAGCTGTACTGTGGACTCTGGTTCAGGTTTTTTCATCTGAATGGGATATCCACTTTTCTCCAACCAAGCCTTCAAGTTTTCAATGTACTCTCTTCCAAACAACGTTGAATCATCGAAGTTTGGGAATAGTGTTGGTGCTGGAGCCATTTCCTGCAGCCCTACAGCTTCAAGTATTTTCTCTTGCCTAAAAACAGATGCTAGCGCAAAGGTCTGACCCAGAAGTGCTAAAGACTTACGACAAAGAGAAACAGTGGTCTCGAAAGCACTTGCCATTTCTCTTGGATTCCCAAAACCGCTTGTCTTAATGCTCAATTCATAAGCATTGCAGGCCATAAGCAGCGGTGTAACACCTTTTAGGAGGCGATCTTGTAGCCTCATTATGTATTTATCAAAAGGTTTTATTATTTCAAAGAAGCAGTTCTTTGTTTTCACAGCACCCTTGTCCAATAGCATATTTAAAAACTCATTGTCCACTTTCGGAGTTTTCAGAGCGGCATGTTGTAAACTCTTGATAGTAAAAAAACAATAATCTCTGTGTTCTGGCTTTAAGGAGCATTTGAATGAGGCAAGCATTTTTGCACAGGTTTCTGTCTCTAGCTCAAAGAGAGCTCCAAAGAGTCGGGAAAATTCTGCATCATTTTTTATCGCATGAAACCCAGCCCATTTAATAATTTCTATTCCAAATGTTGAAAAAATATCAGATTTGTCCACAAGGTCAAAACTGAGATTTCTGAAAACATGGGCAGGCTTCGGAAGCCTGAGAATAGGCCTCGGGGTTGTTATAGCTGGCCTCGGATTAGGTCGCAGAGGCAACTTCTGGTTAGGGCGTGGGACGGTCACCGGCCTCTGGTTAGGTCGTTCAGCAGCTTCTGGCATCTGATCCGGTTGCACAGCTGGCTTCTGATCGGGGCTTGGTTGCAGTTTTTTAGTGTTCCATTTCTTCAGAGGAGTTTTGATATCTGCTTTGAATACTTTTGCTTTAACAGCGCCCCTCGTAATACGCTTTCCTCGCAGAACTCTTCCCCTGCCAATGCTGCCCCTCCATATCGGGGGTCGGAACTCGCTGTCAGACTGAATTCCAAAATCCACATCGTACTCCTGATTTTCCATGTTGCCGTAGTCCTCCTCCATGAGTCCTGGCGATCTAAAATCACCTAAAATATCTGAAGAACTAAAATCAGTTTCATGTTGTCCAGTGGATTCCCAAGAGTCAGGAGGGCCATAGTCCTGATCATGAGAAGCCAGGCCCCCATACTCCCGGTCGTGGGAAGTTGGACATCCGTACTCCCGGTTGTGCGAAGCCGGGTGCCCGTACTCCCGATCGCGAGATGCTGGGTGCCCGTACTCTCCGTCATGCAAAGCTGGGTGCCCATACTCCCGATCGTGCGAGGCTGGACGCCCGTACTTCCGGTCACGAGACACCGGGTGGCCAAATTCCCGGTCATGGGATGCTGAGTGGCCATATTGTTCATGGTAATAGTTATCTTTCCTTATAAGAGGACTAGCAGATCTGTAAGAAGGTCCTGGATAGTCATCTCTAGGGTCTTCCTTCCAGTCTTCATGTGGATGGTGCTGGGCGTTTTCATGAGTGTATCTTCCATCATCATGAAAACTGTCCTCGTACCTTGGTCTTGGGACGGGCCTTGCATGACCTGTAATGATAAATACATAAATACACCAATGCACTGCAAGTAGCTTTAAGAAAAAAAATCTAATCAACACGTTCAGACACAAGAGTCAACACATCAAAACTGCTGAAGAACAGTACACAGAGCTAACTTTAGGATATTCCTATTTGCTTTCTTACGTACACTGAATAATTCATAATAAGCAAAAAGCAACAAATTATTATCAATGGCTAAAAACAAATGACAAAACAATTACTTAAAAATTCTACTCTCCCTTAAGCTGAAACGCAAGTACCGCTACAAACCCCATTTTCTACTTCATAACTTTCTCAGTCTAGGAAAATGCTAATGTTGTGCTCATAATGCTTCTACTTGGATTTCTCAGATGTAAAAATACCAGAAGCACACACTTTCTGTTTCCACACTGAATGCTGGAATTCCAGTTGAACAGAAGATCGTATTTTCTACAAACTCATATGCAATTATCTAAGACAACATTAAAGCCAGAATAACTAGAGTTTCCTGCAAAGTGTCCAAGAATCCCTATTCCTTAATTCCAGTAGGTAAATTCAGAAAGTAAAGAATACTTGAACTAATTCAGTATTCTAAATAAATTATTTTTGGATCTTATATGACTTTAAGAAAACAAAAGAGATCTCATTTTAAAACTCCCAGTTTCCTGTGAATGTAATCCAAGTTATTTTTCTAGACATTTCATACACCAAATTTAAAAGAATCTGCAAATGTATTGTATATGTTCACAAGATTAATGTCCTGCCTTTTCTCCAAAAATAACATAAAATACAAAGACCCAAAGGCTGCCTACGCTTATTTAACTTATCAGACATCAACAGAATTCCACCCTGCAGCCATGTCTCTGGAGACCTCCCTGAAATTGGACCCACTCTCTAATGCAGCCTGAACAGAATTCCTTTGTTTGAAATTTGCTTTTTTTGCCTGGAATTTGCATTCCACATTGAAATAGTGTCAGTCATACCAAGCTAACAGCCTCTTAAATAAAAATGGATGAGGAAAAACACCAGCACAAGTCCACATTTTAGGCAAATAGACGTAAATGGAAGGCAAGAAATCCCACATAGCTGTTACCAGATGAGCTGGCATGACCCAGGGCACGTCATGCCTGGGTTTCGTTACCTTTAAAATGATGGATCGTGTCGTCTACAGCATCACTCCGGTCCATGCGATACCTTTTAACTTTGTCCTGCACTACAGCATCAAACGTCTCCCGTGTGATCCGCCGAGAGGCCATTTTTATCCTGTAGCAAAACAGCACAATGCCGTCCCTGACCAGGGCACGGATGCGGGGGAATGTTCGCCCACTGCGGAGCCGCTATCGCCGCCGGCACCTTCCCGGCACCCCGGACCCCTCCGGTGGGCTTAGCCCGGGTGGATTCCCGTGAGCACGGCGTGAGGGTGCGAACAGTTCCCTCCTCTGGTTCCCCGTGTGAGTCGGCCCAGCCTGAGGTAAAACGCAGCGTAAAGGGGAGCCGCGGCTGTTGGCGCCTTCCCACCCCTCA